GGAGGAACACGGGCTTATGATGGATGGATATAAGAATTATAACACTTGTAACTTACACTACTTACTCAATAATAGATGTTTTGGTCGAAACAAGACTGAATTACGATTGCCAGGATTCAACACCAAAGTGAAAATGAAATCGTTAAGGACAATAAGCCGTTTAACATCAAATCAAGGAAGAATTCATATTAATTAATTGTCCTTTCAGGGAAAAGACAGTCAAAGATAATTTTATTAATATTAATTTTTTTAACAGACGTCTAAGAACTGTAGGAAAAAAATCTCAAAGTAATTGTATTTTTAGCAAATTCCGATAGGGATAGTAAAAAACCATTGTACTTTTTACAAAACCCAATAGAAATAAAATATCTGAAAATCGAGAAAAGAAAATTATTTCTTTTTCACTCGATATCTTAAATCTGTTTTTATCAAAGGCTGTGTCTTCGTTTCTGCCGTCAAAAGCAATTAATTTTGAAGCAAAAGTTTCGCAAGTCAAATATTTTTCTTTGGAGACCAAAGCTCTGGTATTTTGGTTACATTGAAAAATAAACCTTATTATTAACTTTAACTTTTTAAATTTGCATTTGACTTTGAAAATTATAATGGAAAATTGTTTTTTGAATTTACTTTGGGTACCTGTCTGCTGAATTTTGTGACAAATTCAATACTATCATTGTAAAATCGTTCGTGTTTACCAAAGACTTTGTAGATTATCAACTTAAATGACTCAAATGTTTCCTTTCCACTGAGAACTTCACAGGTTTTCAGGATATACAATTATACATTAATCCTACCATTGTTATTCTGAGGGTATTAACAAAGAGACTACACATTTATATTAAAACTTTCGTGAAACATACTAAATTAATTATGTTTTCGACTAACTCACTTAACTATTGGACCCGCACCGCAGCAGACACGAGTAGCCAGTAGCAGCGCGACAATCGTTGCGTCGCATGTCGCGGAATGCTGCTCATGAATATGAGCCTCTACCATGGCTTTAAACTAGTCGAGTTCTTAGTCAAACAGTTATGAGTATACGGCGACAACATAATAATTGTACGGAAATCGAGATGCAGTGCGTGCTTTCTCATAAACTGGAATCGTTAAAACTATGAATCCCAAGCGTACCATGGATATAGAAGTTGATGCTGATTGCTGATGATGTTTATAAATTATATAGTCATTCAGGTAAAGTAAACGGAATGATACCACGGCCTTAAAGATAACTGACGTGAAACAACACTTGCGTTGTGTTTCGTTGTGTGAGTAAGGTTTGTTAAAGTACATTTAAATTTTCTACAGCGCTATAGTTTAGCTTTCCCTACAAAACAAGCCTTATTGTATAGCCTACCTCTAAACGACCCTAGACTTTCTTGTCAGTTAATTAAAATGAAGCCGGTATGAATGGCCTGTGTTATATTTTTTATTATTTTTACTTCACAATATTGTGACGAAGTTAGTCGACTTTGTGAGACAAAGAATTAACTTACAAACTGTTTCAAATGATTTTTAAAGAGGGAACTGTGCCTTTGTTGTTTTGTTTTGAAACTAGAATGTGATACTCAAACTAATATTTTCCTTCTAGGATTAGGTACGTTATCAGTCATGCTAGCTAAGGAGGAGGCGGAGCGCGTGAGGGAACGAACCTCCTCACGACCCGGCCGTCGCGAGGGACACTCCGGGCGTCGGGGATCGCGAGGCGATCTCAGGCCACCGTAAGCACGGGCCTGCGGACGGCGAGCACGGGTGCCATCAGACCACCACAGATGGGGCCTAACAGGGCTGATGCCGATACGGAGCCGCGGAAGAGTTAACGGGTAACCGGGGCTCCGGCTCGAAGTGCAGGAGTAGGAACGGGGTGGTTTTTAGTCAGTAAGAGTCTGATACTCCCTCTCGCCTCACCCGGGTGGGAGAAGTCATTGGATGATTTTCCTCCCTTAAAAAAAAAAAAGTTCAGGTACGTGATAGCAACCTCTTTGTTCCTAAAATAAAGAATGGAATGGTATGGCGCTCCCTCACCGGGAGCATTCACGTGTAATGTACCATTACAGATCTGAGCATTACATCAGTGAAGGAGGAGAACCGAGCATTGCAATGCGCACCTTGTAATGATACAATATGTAATATCTTGATACAACTTGTAACATCAATGTCTAACATCTTGCTATGAAATGCTCAAAGTCGAATCTATATGTTACATTACACGCAAATTGTCGTTTGTCAGGGAGGTATTATTGTAATATAATGCTCAAAGTCGAACCTATAATGTTACATTACACATGAATGCTTCCGGTGAGGGAGCACCTTTAGGTATATATGTGTATAAGAATGAAGAATGCCTCTCGAATCCATCTCCCTTTTTCTGACACCAATTAATTCAGTAAATTGTCATTAATCCATCAATGACTCAAGCTATTAATCAATAGTTGTATTGTCTTGCAATGACCATTTGTATGTTGTATTATTTTTTTTTTTTTATGGCATAAGCCGGTAAACGAGCAGACGGATCACCTGATGTTAAGCAATCGGCGTCGCCCATGGACACCTGGAACACCAAAGGAGTTACAAGTGCGTTACCGGCCTTTTGGGTACCTATTAGGAGTTTGAGGATCGTTTGAGATTCAGGGATTGGAGAGATTAGGGAAGGGGAGGGTAATTGGGCCTCCGGTAACCTCACTCACACGACGAAATACAACGCAAGCGTTGCTTCACGTCGATTTTCTGTGAGGCCGTGGTATCACTCCGGTCGAGCCGGCCCATTCGTGCCACACTTGACCATCTTTTTAACCATCTTAAAAAATAAGGTTCTTAATTACTTATATATATTTATGTGTCTGTGCGCCATTATCTTGCAATTGACTGAACCGATGTTGATGCAGTTTTCAGAAAAGTGTTTGTTTAACTTAAGAGAAGGTTCTAGTATATATTAATTAATGAATTAGGTTATTTTAAACGACGTTTATTAAATCATTATATTGTTAGTTAAAGTTTTAAACCAATGTTATCCTTATCAATACTTTTAAATCATCGTTGTTTGACATAAATACAAAACAAATTTGGGTGTATAACATAACATCACGCCTTTTATCCCCGAAGGGGTAGGCATAGGTGCACATTCTGGGACTTAATGCCACTGTACAATGTAACACCCACTTTTCACTATTTATGTTATGAGTCCCATGTAATAGGGGGTGAGCCTATTGCCATATATCGGGCACATTTCCAGACTCCGTGCTACTACTGAGATTATTAAAAACCCAATAATACTTTGCCCGACCCGGGAATCGAACCCGAGACCTCCTGTCCGACAGTCGCACTTGCGACCACTTGGCCAACGAGGCAGGCATTTGGGTGTATGCTTTTCAAAATTGGAGACTATGTCTCAATCCTACAACTATCGGTTTACATAGCATACGTACCACACACGTAACTGGCCAAAACCCCATCAAGGATTAAAAGCCATGCTGCTATGTTATGAGTACCAAAACGTTCAGTTATGCTCAAACGATCGATTGGGCTAATTTGTAGTCACTTACACGAATTGGATTCCAAATTACCGCCCCGAGGTTGGTCTAACAGTTAGTCTACGTTATGCTTCGGGGAGAATAGATTTGATGACCTTCTAATGTCAAGTTATTTCTTTTACGTTTTCAGTCAATTATTATTGTTATCGATTTTCGTTGAATTTTTATGAGTTTGTTGTTGGGATTTGTGTCCATGTTCTGTTCGTTGGTAGTGGGTCAGTGTTATTAATAGGAATGATAGTAATCTTACCTTTATTTTAGCGTTAATTATAAGTTAAAATTAGAGTATTCAACACATTTCTAGTAGCTTCATTGCCAGCACATGATAGTCAGCAATTGGACTATGGGTGTCCTCTACATGAGATTTTGCCAAAACATTCACAGTGAATGTCTTACTACTGAAAATGATGATATACTACAACTGAAATATACTAAATAACACAGCATATAACATCAAACTGTTTATCCCCGATGAGGTAAACAGAGATGTACATTACGGCACTTATGCCACTGTACAACGTTACAACCACTTTTCAATATTTATGTTATGAGTCCCATGTAATAGGGGGTGAGCTTATTGCTATATTCTGGGCACAATTCGGGACTTCGTGCTATTACTACATTTTTTTTAAACTCAGTAATACTTTACGGGTAAAGTCTCGGATCTCGGATTCGATCCGAGACCCTTTGCCCGGCAGTTGCACTTGCGACCACTCGGCCAACGAGGCAGTCTTTTAGTTCTTCAAAGAAACGAAAAGCAATCTTATCTTATATCTTATAAGGATATATAAAAATGAAACCCGTTTACCGTCGTCACGCCGTAACTTGAGAACGGCTAGACCGATTTGCTGATTTTTTTTGTTGTCTTTGTTATCGTCAGGAGAAGGTTCCTATGATAGAAAAATGTCCTGAAAATCTTACGGGAGTGAGAGAAACGGGATTGCGCGTACGAAGTCGCGGGCAGAAGCTAGTACTAAATAATAATAAGCAACAAATAAAATATGATATTTCTCATAACATAATTATAACATTACAATAATTAATGTAGACATAGAAATTACTTTTAAAGACACATTAAGACTTCTTTAACAAAATTGGCGAACCCATTTAGAAGTCAAAGTAATAAGATTTCCTACCAAAATAAGTACATACATAAAGTAGACCACATTTAATTTGCATTTAATTAAGCCGTGAAAGTGTTAATATGGCACCCGTCGTTTAGTACTTAGCCACGCATTATGAAATGTTATAATTGTGTACGCGAGGAAACTCTGTATTAATATTATTTTAAACATAATTTGTTTTTGTGGTTCATTTTTACTGTTTCGATTTTACTTTAGTGACCTGAATGGAGTTTCTTAATCGTTCTTCTCTTCTCTTTTGACGAATGATTATTTATTTTGTAGTTGTTGACATTGCAAGTACCAAATTATGATTTAATCTATATATATAAAATTCAAAGGTGATTGTTGAGGCACCTGTCTCAACAACGCCGGGCGCGCCCGCGCACCAGCGGCAGTGAACGAGGGACGCGGGGGGGCTGCGGCTCGCCGGCCGGTCTACAGCCGAGCCCGCGCCCCGCGTCGCGCCAGTCAGCTGTTGCATGCTTAGACGCACGGCTGCGCTTACGCATTTTTTTTCTTGTTACTAAATTCTTATCTACATCTTGTTATTCCGCTCTTATACTAGTCATTACATTTTATATACAGTCCACTCGCATTTTTATTTTATCACATCGACAAGAGCTATCGTCGCGTTTATTGGTCCTTCTACCGTTAACGTTTGAACCGAACAAAGAAAGTCGTCGGCAACGGAAATTTTTCAAAATTTCAAAAATCAACGGTCCAACGGTTTTCAACCGTCGCTTGGAGAACAATAGACTTCGTCTTCGAGTTCAAGTTTCGCAAGTGATCATCATATTCTTCGTGTCATCGCCTGCATTTGATCATCGTGAGCATCGATACGGCAGCAGTCGTCTTCATCGAGTTCACATCCAACGGGCGGCGCAAGAAAAAATCACCGAGACTTCGGAACAAGAAGACTCCTCGAGTTTACACGTCGGTCTACTCTTCGGACAGTCATCAGCTCATGAGCTCATCAGAGGTTGACAGCATAAAACCGTGAGAACGTTCCAATTCCTTTGCTCCAATATTTTGCCATTTTTGCTTTTTTAGTTTCAACTTATTTAGTAGTTTCTTTCAAATAATAATTCCATAAATCCATAATCTTCAGCCTATCAACTTGTATAAGCAGTGTTTTGTCATTGTATGCAATACTAAGTTTATAAGTAAATATTACTTTTTCAAACTGCCAATCACAATTACTCATATTTCATGTAATTCTAGTCCATATTGTTTGCATTATTTCATTGATTTCGTGGAATTTATTTTTATTGGAAGTGTCGGGTACACAAAAGTATTGCGTCATCCGCACTTAGCATAAAAAATCATAAACGCCTGGTGCCTTTGTAGTAGCAACAAAACTTCTCACTGCGTATAATTTTGTGCACATTCGCTACTTGTTGCTATTGATAAAGTAGAAATATTTTTACATATACTTTTCCTTATTTCTGCTTCTTCTTTCTACTGCATCTGCTAAAATTTCACTGCCATGGCTGACATAAAAAGCTTTATTAAGAAGCGAGCTTCAATCAAAGCCAAGCTTACGCAGTTTAACTCTTATTTAAGCGTTTCTAAGTCTTGCGAAAAGTTAAGTGAGGTGCAAATCGTGGAAATTGAGTATCGCCTTAATATATTTGAGAACTTATATGAGAAATATGATGCATTACAGGATGAATTGGAGGCGTTGGTGGAGGACCCCAGCGAGCAATATGCCGAGCGCGAGGAGTTCGAAAAGTTGTACTACAGCTTAGTGGCTTCTGCACGGCAGCTGATCAGCGGCGCAAGGAAGCTTCTGGAGGGGGATTCCGCGAACGAGGTGGATTCTTGTATTTCTAGTACACACAAACACAATTCAATTCGTTTACCAAAAATTGACTTGCCCAAATATTCGGGCAGCTATCGTGATTGGCTGGAATTTAGTGATACCTTTGTGTCTATAGTGCATAACAATGCAAACTTGGATAAAATTAATAAATTGCATTATTTACGTGCTTCCTTAAAGGGTAGCGCTTCTTTAGTTATTGATAACCTTGACTTCAATTCAGAAAACTATGACACGGCCTGGAAGTTACTCTGTGATAGGTATGACAACAAGAGATTGCTTGTCAACAATCATGTGCAAGCACTTTTCAACGTTCAGTCTATTGACAGAGAGACAAGTAAGTCACTTCGATATATATTTGACACTACAAACAAAAATCTTAGAGCATTGGCAACCCTTGGTCAACCTATTCAGAACTGCTTCGTCGACGTACTTATCATTTACATAATGACCAGTAAACTCCACCACATAACCAACCTTAAGTGGGAAGAGCACAGGAACACCTTTGTTGAACCTCCAACTTTGTCTGCTTTCATTAACTTCCTTAGTAACAGAGCTGACTTACTGGAGACAATGGAGGAATCTAAGCCAATAGCTATAGCTAAAAGCGAATCCGTCACGACTTCAAATAAAGCCAAAACTCATTCAATGTTACCTGAAAGGTCATTAAAGGCCTTGACTTGTCCTATGTGTCGTCAAGATCATTTTATTTTTGCATGTGAACAGTTTAAAAGCCTTTCAGTACAGGCTCGCATTAAAAAGGCTCAGGATTCAAATGTGTGCATGAATTGTCTTCGTCCAGGTCATGATACTTCTAGGTGCAAGCTAGGTCATTGTAAATATTGTCGTCAAAAACACAACACTCTGTTACACATAGACAATGACAATGTTCTTCCTAGTGCACACAACACTGTATTATCAGCTACTCAATCCTCTTCATCTCGAATAATTTTACTTTCCACAGCACTCGTGAGGGTGACTGACGCTGACGGTAATCACCAAACAGCGCGGGTCTTGCTGGACAGTGGGAGTACTACCAATTTTATTTCGGAGGACTTTGTTCGTAAGCTGCATATTACTACCTACATTACCAACACTAAGGTAACAGGTATAAACTCTCATTCTTCTAGTTGCAGTCAGGGGTGCTCAGTGTCGTTAACATCAATTGACGACAGTGGGTACAATCTGAATATCGATTGTTTCGTATTGCCGAAAGTATCAGCATCGGTTCCACATGCCTATGTTGATACCAGCAACATACGTATACCTACGAACGTGCACCTTGCTGACCCCACTTATTATATTCCGTCTTCGATCGACATCCTTGTCGGTGCGGAAGTCTTCTGGGGTATCATAGGCAGTGGCCGTATCGCATTAGGTACTCATAAACCCACGTTGCTTGAGTCAAAACTAGGTTGGCTCATTTCGGGTACATATTACCATCAATCGGATCTCACTTCACATGTTTGTATGCACATTAACAACTTACAAGTTGATTTAAATCGGTTTTGGGAGTTAGATTCTGTGTCATCTATACATAATCATACAAGTGAGGAGAGATCCTGTGAACAACATTTTACAGATAACACATATCGTGATTGTGATGGGCGATTTGTGGTAACTATTCCTTTTAAAGAGTCACCAGACGCATTGGGTGATTCATACGTGTTAGCTAAACAACGATTTCTATCTCTTGAACGTCGTTTGGGTAGAGATCTTCGGCTTAAAAACTTATACGTTGACTTTATTAATGAGTACATAGAGCTCGGACACATGTCTGAATCTACCGGACATCCACTCGACTCATCATATTCCAATTATTTACCACATCATAGTGTTTTAAAGGAGTCACGAACTAGCACCAAATTGAGGGTAGTTTTTGACGCTTCCGCCAAAACTAAGTCAGGCAAATCTTTCAACGACATACAGATGGTTGGTCCCACCATCCAAGATGATTTATTGTCAATACTGCTTCGATTTCGTCAGCATAAAATCGTCATCAGCGCGGACATTGAAAAAATGTACCGACAAACTCTTGTTCATGTCAGTAATCGTCCTTTACAAAAAATTCTTTGGAGGGCCGAACCAACTCATCCGTTGAAGGAATACACACTTAACACAGTTACGTACGGCACATCATCAGCACCATTTTTGGCCACTAGGTGTTTACTTCAACTGTCTGAAGAGTGCTCAGATCCGTCAACTAAGTTTTCCATAGCTCGTGATTTTTATGTCGATGATTTTCTGTCCGGTGGGTCATCTGTTTCAGAAGTATTGGAAAAGGCCTGCAATGTTGACGGTGTTCTTCGGTCAGCGAAGTACAATCTTCGGAAATGGCGGTCCAATTCCAATCAGGTCCTGCAGGCGCTTAGCGGTGAACCTGAGGTTTCGGATGTTTTGAACCTGAGTGACAACGAGCAGTCGAAGACTCTAGGACTTCTATGGAAAAGCTTGAGTGACACGTTTTCGTTTTCTATTGACATAAACATCACTGAAAAGGCTACTAAACGTCACATCTTGTCAATCATAGCGCAAATCTTTGATCCTGTTGGTCTGGTCGTTCCATGCATAGTGGAAGCCAAAATTATCATGCAGCAACTATGGTTGGCTAAATGTTCTTGGGATGAGCTTGTTCCCGCACATATTCAGTATGCTTGGAAAGACTTTCAAAATAGTCTGCACCTTTTGAATGAGTTCAAGATACCCCGGTGGGTCTTGTGTGATTCTGCGTCCCGTCTGCAGCTGCACATCTTCACTGACGCTTCCGAAAAGGCTTATGGAGCGTGTGCTTATGTTCGCAGTGTTTCAAGAGACGGCAAGGTCACGGTACATCTACTTACCGCTAAAAGCAAGGTAGCTCCAATCAAATCCACCACCATACCGCGGCTTGAGCTGTGTGGTGCCTTGTTGGGCTCACGGTTATACTCAAAGGTTCGTCAGTCACTTACCTTACGGTTTGATGAAGTTCATTGTTGGTGTGATTCCACAATCGTCTTGGGATGGCTAGCTACTTCGTCAAACCAATTAAAATCATTCGTTCGTCATCGCGTGTCTGAAATTCAGGAAACTATAGGAGGGGAGGCTTGGAGATATGTTCCGTCGGCTGAAAACCCCGCAGATCTCGCTTCGCGTGGACTTCGAACTGACAGGCTGATATCTTCTTCATTGTGGTGGTCAGGACCACAATTTCTCACTAAAGATAGGTCTTCATGGCCACAATTCCCTATATCAAATCATAATGACTCTGAGTTACCAGAAACAATCACTTCTTGTCATGTTTCTCATCATATTATTGAAAATTGTATTTGTGGCTTATGGTCCAAGTTTTCAAACTTTAATACAATACATCGTGTGACGGCATATGTCATGCGATTTATTAATAAATGCAAGAAAACATCAGTACAGTGTGGTTCACTAACTTCTACTGAACTTAATAATTCTTTGAATCTGTTGTTAAAACTTAGCCAAATGGAATCTTTCCCGGAAGAATATCATTTACTTAAATCAGGTAAACAGTTGCCAGCAAAAAATAAATTATTATACTTGTCTCCTTTTTTCGATAATATTTCAAACCTGATTCGTGTTGGGGGAAGATTAAATAATTCATTTTACGATTACAATATCAAGCATCCAATTTTATTATCTAGTTCTCATACAATTTGCATCCTCTTGTTCAATATGTTTCACTTACGCCTTCTGCATGCTGGGCCTCAGCTTTTATTAGCCACTGTTCGTCATCACTACTATCCCATTGGAGGTAGGAACTTGGCAAAAAAGGTCACCCATCAATGCGTTAAATGTTGTAGGGTCAAGGCTAACACTATTCAGCCTATCATGGGTAATCTTCCAAAGCAGCGATTACATTTAGAGTTTCCCTTTTTAGACACAGGTATAGACTACGCTGGTCCTGTCATGATAGCTGACCGGAAAGGTAGAGGGTGTCGGCTCATCAAATGTTTTATTTGTGTGTTCGTGTGTCTAGCTACAAGAGCCATTCACCTCGAGCTTGTGTCGGACCTTACAAAGGAAGCTTTCTTAGCTGCGCTTAATCGCTTTATTGCTCGCAGGGGAAAACCGCGCAACATATTTTCCGATAATGGAACAACGTTTGTTGGCGCCTTCAATGAGTTGGCCAAGCTGCTTTCTCAAGACTTAAATGTTAACACCATCGACCCAGGCATTCACTTCTCTTTCATTCCTGCATATACTCCACACTTCGGTGGCTTATGGGAGTCTGCAGTTAAATCCACCAAACATCATCTCCGGCGGATTTTAGGTCTAACAAACCTTAACTTCGAGGAGATGGCTACTTGTTTAATACAAGTTGAGGCTATCTTGAATTCAAGACCCTTAACACCTTTATCCAACGATCCTTCCGACCTCGCTCCTTTAACACCTGCCCATTTCCTCATTGGTCGTTCTCTAATCATGCTGCCTCATTCACAGGTCCAAAACGCCAACATCAACAGCCTAAAACGCTTTCATCGCATTGACGTATTGAAACAACATTTCTGGACTCGCTTCGCGCATGAATACATCATGTGGTTACAGGAGAGAACGAAGTGGCGTCGGTCCTCCGGCGAGCTCAAGGAGGGAACTATGGTCGTCATAAAGGACAATAACTTACCTCCTCTTATGTGGCTCTTAGGACGCATCACACACGTTTTACCCGGCAGAGATGGCGTCGCCAGGGTCGCCGACATCCTCACCAAGAAGGGTGTCATCCGGCGCGCCTTCAACACCATCTGCCCGCTGCCGGTCTCCACTGTTGAAGACTCTTCAACGGGGGGAGTATGTTGAGGCACCTGTCTCAACAACGCCGGGCGCGCCCGCGCACCAGCGGCAGTGAACGAGGGACGCGGGGGGGCTGCGGCTCGCCGGCCGGTCTACAGCCGAGCCCGCGCCCCGCGTCGCGCCAGTCAGCTGTTGCATGCTTAGACGCACGGCTGCGCTTACGCATTTTTTTTACTTGTTACTAAATTCTTATCTACATCTTGTTATTCCGCTCTTATACTAGTCATTACATTTTATATACAGTCCACTCGCATTTTTATTTTATCACATCGACAAGAGCTATCGTCGCGTTTA